TGTGGTTGGACACACAAGGAATTTGTCTTGGTGCAAATACTCTCAGTATACATTAAAAAATGATACATTGGTCAAGAATCATAAAGGGGCATTTCTGGTAGCATCTTTTTCCAATCAACCCATTTAATTAAAAAGTATAAACTTGTGATAACCAGCAACTTACATTTTCAAATGCATAACAGAATAACAGAGCTGGAAGGGACATTGGATGGTTTGTAGACCAACACCCTGCTTACTCAAGAGACTATTATTTCAGACAAATGGTTATCCATTCTCTTCTTAAAAACTTATAGTGTTGGAGCACCCGCAATGAAGCAAGTAGTTTCACTGATTAATGTCAGGAAATTCCTCCTTAGTTCTAGGTTGCTTCTCTCCTTGATTGGTTTCCATCCATTGCTTCTTGTTCTGCTTTTAAATGCTTTGGAGAATAGCTTGACCTCTTTTTGGGTCAGCTCCTTAGATATTGGAACACTGCTCACGTGTCACCCCCAGTCCTTTTCATTAAACTAGATATACCCAATTCCAGCAACCTATTATAGAGGCTAGACTGATGCAGAACTTAAATTGTGGTGGGGTACAAGGAGGGGAAGGCAGGTTGGTTAAGCAGGTGCAGCTTACTGTGAAACAAATCACAAGTACTTTATCAATTAACAATCATAATGTGTTAAAAAAAACCTGTTAATATCCCCCACCCTTCTTAATTTGGAAAATGTCCACTTTCTGATTTTTTTGCCATCATAAACTAGCACAGATTTTCTCCTACGGCATCTGGGGTTCAGTATTGAGGAGAATGTGTTTCCCAGATGGCAGGCTGACATTGTTGTCAATGGCATAGGCAAAATGTGGTTTTGTGGTATCTTTGCAGAATTGTACATGTGAAACTTTTGTTTAACATGTCTCGTGACACAGAGATGACTCCTGTGAATGTCTAAAATAGTCACAATATGCTTGTCCATAGCTATAAAGTTTTTGCAAAGCTTTCACTCTTTAATATTTAAATGAAATGATGACTAGATTTGGAGGAATAATAAGGTGTTCACAAGACTCTTGCGTTTCTATTAGTCATGATGAATATTTAGCACTTCCTGATTCAGAGGATGAATATTTCTGATGGATAGTTGCTGGGAAAATTTAAAAAAGGGAGCTATTGTTTTCCAATTAAGTTTATTAGCTTTTCAAAGGCATTAAGTTTGCCACTGTGGGAAATAGGTCATTAATGTGAACTGAGATTTTTTTCTGTTACCCTGTTCAGATAAAATCAAGAGCCTTTTTTTAATAATTGCTGAGCTAACAGGTTTTAAAGGAGATGTGTAGCAGGGATCTTAGAATAAGATAGTTTACTATCCCCATATATGGCTGATTGATCTGTTAAAAACATTAGTGTATGATGATTTATACTGGAAACCTTTGATCAAACTGCTGATCTGAAAACATTAGTTGTGAATGAATGTCATTTAGTAAAAAGACTGTTGATTTCTGTATACAAGCTAGTTTATTATTTTGGTTCATTGCATAGTCAGCCAGATGTTCAGACTGGATTTGTTATTTTTATCCATCTATTGAGTCTTTCCCAAAGACTCTCTGGGATAGGGAGATGTGGATGTGTTAAAAGTATCATTTTATTGATTTGTATCAGTGGTAGGATTCAAAAGTTTTTACTACCGGTTCTGTGGGCAATGCTTGGTGGGCACGGCAGGGGAAGGTTACTGCAAAATCCCCATTCCCTCCCCACCCCACTAACCTGCTTTCCAGCTCCGTTCTCCTGTGCAGGGCAACAAAAGAAGACCCAGCCAATCAGCTGGGACTCGGGAGGCAGAGAATAGATGGGGGCGGGGCCAGTCAGAGGTGGTATTTGCCGGTTCTCCGAACTACTCAAAATTTCCACTACCGGTTCTCCAGAACCTGCTGACTACTGCCTCTGATGAAACCTAGCTTCCTATCTAATGATAGCCATCCATTTACCCAGAGCCAAGCTGCACTAAAGGCCTCCAATAAAGTAATGTTGCCAGCCAATCAAGATACAAAAAGAGCCAAAAAACAGACAGAAGATATTAGAAACACCAATCAAGCAGAACACAGCAAACTCCAAGACCAATAAACACAAACCAAGACTCCCAACCAATCAGGATGAAGAAAAAACCATTCTGGCACAGCAATAGGCTGCCCCAAATTTAAATCTGAAACCACTGTAAAAGTCTGACTCACAGATGAACACTATACAGAAGCCTGATGTAAATCTTTCACGTTTCTTTTCAATATTTATCAATCTTTGAGAACAGTTGAAATATTTCCCTCCCTTCTTCATTATTACTTAACTGTTAATAAGCATACCATTGGATAATCATACAGTTTTATCTTATAAGTTATTTACTATTAATAAGCAAAATAATTATTCAAATTCATTCAAGTAACTGGTATAAATTTCCTTATAAATCTTTCACATTTCAATATTTTATCAATCTTTAGAAACAATTACAATGTTTCCCTCTCTTCTTTATTATTGCATTAATTATAAATAAACATACCATTACATAACTACAGTTTTATCTCATAGATTATTTACTTATTTCATTTCTAACTCATTACAGTATTCTACTGTCACAATACTATCTTTTGTACCTTTGCAGAATCCTCACTTTTAGCCATTGTCTCTGTATTTTCTAGCTGAGCAAATACCTTTAATCCTAGTACGTTTCCCCCTTTTTTTATTTCCTGCTTTTGTCCCTCATGAGTTCTTTTCCTTTCTATCTCCCCCCCCTTTTTCTCATCCCTTTTTTTATACCCTTCTCTCTCTAATTTTCCCTTCTGTGGTTTTCTTTTCTGCTTCTCCTTGCTGTTATACTTCAGACTATTTTTCTTTTTGGCTGTTCCCTTTAATCTCAAACTTCTAACTCCTTTCCCCCTTTTTCCCCTTATTACCACACTTTGCATTATTTGATCATTAAAAATGGCTTCTTCTTTGTCCTGCCCTTCTTCTTGCTCTCGAAGCTTTTCCTTTTGCTTTTCATAGTTCAGGATCTCCATTTCAAAAAATTCAAATATGAAGCCAAAGGATCTTCCTCCCCTTTCTGCATCTTCTTTCTGTTTTTAAGTTCCTCCAGGAGTGATGGCATTTTAAACACTTTTGAACAACAATCACCCGATTGACTTTAAGTAAAAAACAGAAAAAGAAAGAAAAAACCAATGCCAAATACTTTTTTTAATATCACCAAATGATCCCAGACTGTTCCTTCTTGTTTCTTTCCTTTACTTTTCCTTTCCATGGGTTACTGTATCTTTTAATAAGGTTTCAGTTACAATGTATCCTCGGGAGTCTTTTCAAAGTTTTGCTGTTAATCCTCTTTATTTTTCCAGGTGGCACTCCATTTTTCCATTATTCCAAGTTCCACCCTTTCGCCTCCACTCTTCTCCTTTTTAGGGCTTTAAAATGACCAAGGAAAAAATCTTTATTTTCCTTTTGACAATTAAATTTCAGCTTAAAGTTGCCTATTAGTGTCAAAGTAAATTAATATAGATTTCTTTCCATATCATTTGTAATTGTCAAAGGTAAAAAAAAGGGTTTTTAACCTTTTCTCTCTCCTTTGCCACTTAAAAGTCTTCTTTCAGAAGTATCCCTCTAAGTACTTTTAGATTCAGGGTACCTTGCTTAGATGTTCTCTGTTGTTTAGCCCGGTCTGTCCTGCTTTCCTCTTTGTCTTCCTCCTGCACAATCTTATCCAGTCGGGTTCTTCTTTTTTTAAAAAAAATTTTTTTATTGGTTTTTAAAAACAAACATAAACAAACAAAACATAAAAACATCAAGCTGTCTTCCATAGGTGTACATACAGTGTGCCGGTTGGTTTACAAATTGTTTTGTGCTTCCATTTCGTAGTCTTCAATTACAATTACATTACATATAATCTCATATTGTCAATCAAAAACTAAATACCTTAGTTTCATTATTAATCATTTGACTATACTTTTATTAATTCATGTTTTACAAGATAACCATAATTTACTTAATTTATTGTATAACAGTTCATATTATCATCCCAAATCTATCCTAAAATCATTTTGTAGTTATAATAAAAAAGTACATCTTTATATATTTATTATTTTCTAGAAATCTACTTATTTCATTACTGTACTTTTTTATCTAACCATTGATAGAAAAGATCCCAAATTTTATAAAATTGTTTATCCTCTTGTTCTCTAATTTCAAATGTCAATCTACTCATTTCAGCACATTCCAATATTTTCTTAATTATTTCCTCCTGTGATGGTATCTTCTCATTTTTCCAGTTTTTAGCAAATACAATCCTAGCCGATGTTAATACATTTACAATCATGTATTTCAAGTCTTTGCTATATATTTCAGGTAAAATTCCCAATAAAAATATCTCTGGTTTCAAGTTCTTCTTTGAGGAGGCCATTTCTGACCACCTCTGCAAACACCTTCGGGAAGGGGAGTTTAGACCAGCCAAGGAGGAGAGATGCGGCTCCCCTCCACTCGGCTAGCAATCTCTCCGCTCTTCACCACCTCTACGGGATGGCTTCAGCCCTGAAGCCAAAGGATCGGGGCGCTCCAGCGGTGAACACAGATCGAAACTGTGCACGATCGCAGATTTCGGTCTGTCGCTGAAGCAACCGGAAGAGCCCCCCCACTTCTTTTTTTTTAAGTACAGCAAGAAGAGACTACTGGATATTGTCATGGCATATTCTCAGTTTGTTGGGCTTAAGAAAACCTTGTAGTGGTTAGCACATTGTAGGTACCTCCTGGGATACATTTTACCAGAGACCATAAAAGATATGACAACAGATATGGAAGGTTTTCCCCAGGGAAATTTTGAAAACCTCAGGAATGCCAGCATGAAAGGAATAATATAGAGACATTACACTGATTATGTGTGTAATTTTGCAGTGTGTGACTTTCCATTACATGTACAGACTGTTTGGCTGACTTAATATAACTGGCTTTATATTTTTGTTATGTAGTTTTATGTATTGGTTTATTATGGTTTATCTTTTTAAAAGAGTATTTTTTTTTTACCAAGGAGATATTTAATAACTTATTTTAAAGCATGTTTTATATTTTTAACAGGAAGGACTTTCCCAAAGAAAGGCCAAACATGTGTAGTCCATTACACAGGTAAGGTTCATTATAAATAAAGTGATTTGTTGTTGTTGTTTTTTTGGCTGCTTATTTTAATTTCCTATAGTCTCTCTCTCCCACCCACACAGTTATACATGAATCAATGTCATCCTAATCCACTTAGTACCTTATTTTTGGATTAACATACATTCTATTAATTTATGTGAAGTTGATAGTTTATATTCATTTTAGCTATATGCTCATCTACCTAGCCTACACCACTTTGTAAGAATGACCTTGATGGAGATAGAGGTTGAGGTTGTAAATTGGAAAACAGCAATTTAGTATAATTTGAACAGCAGAAATAGTTCTATTACTAGTGTGCTACTTTTCCCATCCTTGAGTTTAATGCCCTTCCCCAGTCATTTATGGCAGGATAATAGTGAGGAGATAAGTCTTCCAGTGTTCCAGATAGTGTCTTTGAGGTTTGAAGAGGTAGAACTCCTCTTGATTCCAGAATGAATTACGGAAGCTTTAAAAACTATCAAGCAAGAAGCATTAGAATCCAAGCATTTCTTTATCTTTACAGATGTGACGACTGATTTAAGAAGTTATAATATAAAAAAATTTCTTCCAATATAGCCATGGTGGTGCAGTGGTTAGAATGCAGTACTGCAGGCTACTTCTGCTGATTGCCGGCTGCCTGCAATTTGGCAGTTCGAATCTCCCCAGGCTCAAGGTTGACTCAGCCTTCCATCCTTCTAAGGTTGGTAAAATGAGGACCCAGATTGTTGGGAGCAATATGCTGGCTCTGTAAACCACTTAGAGAGGGCTATAAAGCACAGTGAAGCGGTATATAATAAGTGCTTTTGCTATGGTCAGTATTATTCCAGTAAAGACTCCATCAAAATCTCAGAACAGATTATACTAATAGTACCAAATATTTTACTCCCAATATTTGAGACAGGTGTTTCCTAAATGATGAAATGTTCTAATCTAGCTCTATATCTAAATTCTAGAAGAAAATATGAGTTGCTTGGAAGAGCAACTTGGATTGGGTTCATAATATGGCTGTTCAGATCCCATTTATCCAATTCTGATAACAATTGCCATATGTAGTATATATTTATGGAGCAAAGCTAAGTTTTAGAACTGGGAATGAATATGTGGGAGTAGACTGTTATAACATCAGTTCTTACAAATAATGATTGTATCAGAAGTAAATTGGATCTGGTACCTTGCTGTAATTTTGGTGTAAATACATTGACTTTGAAACTGTGATAAAATTGGATCTAAAAGTCTATTAAACTTGAATTAGAAGTATCAAGAAGTCCACACTTGATCATGAATTTCCACTGGACAACTGGAATTGTCCAGTTACTCTCCCTTGAGCCAATCTATATGAAGGGCTGCTTAGAAATGAAATTAGGGAAGACAGTTGTGTATGTGATAGAAATAAAATCAATGTGGGGAAATGTAGAATATCAACACAATAAGTAAAAATTGGTACAGAATTAAAGTGAGCAGATCCTTCTCCAAGTCTGATAGTAATCTAATTGTAAAATATTTGTGCACTCTGGAAGGAAAGATACTTTTCATATATTCTCCCTCCTCCTTCTGTAACAGAAATGTAGTTTGGCTTTTCTGTGATTCCTTCTATACTATTTTTTCCTTATGTTTGAATTTTTCCATTATGCACTGAAGCTCATGAATCCATTTGATTCAAGACAGAGCAAGCTTGGGGACTGTAGTAAGTATGCTTTTTAATACAGGAAGGAAACCAGGTGCCTGATAAAGAAATATAATCTAATAAGGAGATTCGTTGTGTCCTCCTGGCTAGATGGAAGACATCTATTACAGCTTAATGCAAATTATACTGGAAGTAACATTACTGAAAATTACATCACCACACACATTGCAACTGTGCCCTAGGAAAGATAAGCCAGCCAAAACTGGATTAGCTACACTCCCCTGCAATTTTATTGTTTTTGCAAAGTTTCATCGTTTAAAACCATTGCAACCTGATGTGGGATGTTCATTTATATGGCAAAGATTCATAACTCATTTTTCACTACATCATGACCATGCCTTAAAAGATGGAGATTTTTCTTGTCTCAGAAAATTGTAATGGCATCTGATTATCTATAAAATGCATTGCCGAGAGTTGTGGGAGTATTTAATGGTTTATAATAGCAGAAAAAAAAACTGTATGTTTTGTGTAAAATATGTCTTCTGAGACTCTGCAGAAACAGTTGTTTTGAAAAAGTCCCAGATGTAGTCAATAAAATTCCCATTTTGCTTGTTTAGTGTTCTGTTTTTTTAGAATGAGAGAAACTTAACAGGACTACAGCATTGTGAATTGAATTAGTAATAATTTATATTGGTAATCATACTATAAAAATAATTAAAGTGGTAGTTCTTGTTCTCATATTTCATTTTCCTTCATAACAGGAATGATAAATTATTAGTGTTTGTTGCTTTAATTTAAAATGAGATGGGCCAAAACTTTAATAGCATGTGCACTTTATGGGATAACTTACATTACAGAAGCAAAGTAAACAGAAGTATATACAGGTCTATCTATGACCATAAATGAGCCTAGAATCACAATCATAAGTCATTGCTGTTGTAAGTCAAGACACCATGTGACTGAATTAGAAGTTACAACTTCTAACTAATGATATCATTAAACAAATGCAGCAATGGTTAAGTGAATCCATTTTCCCCAATGGGCATTTTATGCTGGAAACCAGAAGTAAATGCTCTGAACCAGCATAAAACGTTGCAAATCATGGTTATGTGCTGGGGGATGCTGCAAATAGCTGTAAAAGTGAGCTAGTTCTGATAGTAAGTCAAGGACTACAAGAAACTGAATATAATATAAACAGTGGTTTGATTTCCATATTTCTGTTTTTTACAGTGCTGTAAAAATAGCCATTGTCATTTATTCATTTGTTATTTATGCCTAGCATTTTATGAAAACTTAGCCAGTTGTTGTATATTTAATTTACTATGGGCTGGCAGTGTGTGAAATTAATCAATGTAAGCTTTCCTCCAAAAGACAAGTTTTGACCAAGGAAACTATGGACAAAATATATGGATTATGGCTGTATGGCAGTATGGTAACACATGGCACTGTAGTGGCCACAACTTTGTCAAATTTCAATCCCATGGGAGTTGTGGGTCCCAGATTTTTGATGCATCCATTTGAGGTATCTTGGTTCAGAAATTGTTGCCCGATGATCACCGCTTCATCCATTTAAAGGTTACAGATAAACAACCAGTTTTAGTAGAATGCAGATTATGGACTATAATAGGGAGTGCATAATACATAGGTACTATTTCTAACAGCATCACTATTCTTATAATTTTAGGCCTGCTTAGAACCCATGCAATAGATCTGTAGGAGTGAGATTATGCTGTGACCTCCATGCCCACCATCAAGTTCCTGCTGCCCAATTAAAACATCTTCCAAAAATTAGAAAACAAAGCAGGTTAAAATCATATTCTCTATGTTTTGGCTTCCCATACCATTTAAAGCATAATCTGAGTTCTACACTCTGCAATGGAGAAGGCACAAGGAAAGTTTATTTGCTATGGCAGATGTTAGTCCTTCAGCCTATGAAGTGTAAAAATGTGAGATAACAATACAACAACAACAACAAAAAGGCAAAGTCAGTGAGTGATTCAGTTTCAGAGCTGAATTCCTAAACACCTCAGTTGCTCTGACTTGCCATCATGAAAATCTGCATTTTTCAAGATGTAAGAACTGCTTCTGCATGAAACTAGCTGAAAATTCTCTGAACAAGACACTTTAGGCACATCAAATAATAGAACATATCAATTTAAATGAAGAAGGCTCTGTGACTTTATATTTGCATCTGAACCAAACCCCCCCAAAGTAATGTCTTTGGCCCAGATAAGGTTGCTTCCAAATGAAAGACTTTTAACATTGCAAGTTAGGACATTGTAGAGCTATTTCATTCTAGTGTGGGTACATAGCTGCACTTAACCAACCTCAAATGATCTCACAAGCTAAGATGGATTGGTGTTAGTACTTGGGGGAACATTTGAGAAAAGCACATTGGCAGACCATTTCTGTATTGTTGCCAAGAGAACTCTGTGAATGAATCAAGCTTGGCTCTAAGGAAACCATTTACATTTCCTTAATTTGGTTTTCCAAGGAAAGGACAAAATAGAAAAGAGGGGATTGAAAATGGAAGACATTATCAACTGACAAATTCCCACTCCATCCGCACCATGGATGGAAAACACCTAATTGAGGAAAGACTTATAAGTATTTTGGATTTTTCTTACTAATTGTGGTGGTTTAACCGTGTCCAAGTTCTATTTTTTGCCTGGATCCTATGTCAGACCCTGTAAATGAAAGAGACTTGAGCGATGCATCCCAATGATGTTATGAAGGCTGGGATGCTTGAAAGGATATACTGTGGATTAAAAAACTACTTTGCTTTTTATGCCAGTGTTCTTATATCTTTAATAACGCTACAAGAGGCAGAAGTTCAGTACTGCTGATTCTTAATCAAAGGACTGAATATTTAGGGCCGTGGTGGCGAACCTATGGCATACATGCTGGAAGTGGCACACAAAGCCATTACTGCCAGCACTCGAGCACTCGCCCAGAAAAGGTCTACTGCGCATGCATGCTGCCCGCCCAACAGCTGATTGTCGGGGTATCTGATGCATGTGCGTAGGGGTGCGATGGCGCACAGGAGACACTTGTGCATGCGCAGAAGTGCGCAGTGCGTGGGGGTCATGCATGCATGCGCAGAAGCGCACAGCGTGGGTCATGCAGTTCGCACACTCATGTGCAGGAGGCATGGGTGGCCGCATGCGTTGCCTTCTGGGTGATGGCACACGAGCACAAGCAGGCAAGTGCGCACGCAATTATAGGCACGGGAGCCCAAAAAGATTAGCCACCACTGATACTATGTGCTTTTCCAAATATTTTGAAAAGAAACTACAAATTCCACTCCATTTCCAACAAGAATATTAGGATCACTGTTTGTGGGAGATGTAGTCTCAAATATCAAATA